TCTTTATAAATTCTAGACAGCAGACCTTTGTCTGAGTACTTATTTGTCATGATCTTTTCCAAATTTGTGGGTTGTCTTTTCACTTCTTTGGTAATTTCTTTTGACGTGCAAAAACTTCTCAGTAACAGCAGGTCCCACTTGTTAATTCTTTCAAGTATTTCCCATGCGATGATTTTTGTTCATGAAGTCTTTGCCTACCCCTATGTCTTCAAGAGTTCCTCCAACTTTCTTTTCCAGGAGATTTAGTGTTTCTGTTTTAATGTTTAGATCTTTAATCCATTTTCACTTTAGCTTAGTGCATGGTGATAGACCTGGGTCAAGTTTGAGTTTTTGACATGGAGAGAGCCAGTTTTTCCAGCACCATTTGTTAAGGAGGTCATCTTTCTTCCAGTGAGTATGTTTGGCCCCTTTGTCAAAGATAAAGTGGCTGAGTGTGTTTGTAGAGGCTTCAGCATCTTGTAATCTATTCCATTGATCCTCAGGTCTATTTTTTTGCCAGTATCATGCTGATTTTATCACAGCCTTGTAGTATAATTACATTATTGGTTTTTTGAACCTTGGTTTTATCATTTGCAAATAGATATGCTTTTGGAATATTCCAAATTCAGTTTGATAATCTTTTAAAGGCTTGACAAAGTTTAGTAAACCTATTCTCCTAAATAAGCAGTTAATACAGAAATTAATAATGTAGAATTTTTAAAAAGTAAAACATGGGCTTGGGTGTATCGCTCAGTGTTAGGACATGTACCTGGTATGTACAAGAGCTGGGTTTGATCCCCAATAGCAAGGAGATAAAAAAGATGTCATCACAAACTATGTCATCATTTTACTATTTATATGGGATTAAAGTATACAATTTGATAATATTTCAACTTCCTCATTGTGTAGCTGTCCTTATAATTTAAAAATGCTTTCATTACCCATCGTGCTCATTTATAGTTAATGCTTGTCCCTTCCCTGGGCAATCACAGATGTGCTTTCTGTGTCTGTATTTATGTTTTCTGTTTCTTCTTTACTTATATAGCTAGCTCGGTGTTTATGTCTGATAGGTAGGCAGGTAGTACTTTGTGAATGAAATGTGAGTATTCAAAAAAATGAGAACAAGTGATAAAGATGGGTAAGACATATTCTATAGTCATTTATAGGGTAACATGGAATATATATGTATTTTTTGTAACCTTACTATAGCATGCAACATTGCAGGGCTGAATTTAATGTGAAGTTTAGATACAGAAAGAATATAGACGTAGAAGTAGGTAGCATTGGGCATGGTGGCATATGTTTGTAATCCAAGCATTTGGAATAAGGATTTTTTTTTTTTCTCCGAATGCCTTCAGGGCAGGTTTGGCTGGCTTGAGTTGTGGGGATCGAACCACAGCAACCTGAGCCTGACTGCTTTGTTGAAGCAGCCACTTAAAGAACTGAGCTAAAGGGCAGGCCTCCCAGTCCAAGCATTTGGGAGACTGTGGCAAGAGGACTGCTACAAATGCAAGCCAATCTGGACTACACAGTGAACTCAAGGCTAGCATGAACTACACAGTGAGACCCCAATCTCAAAAGTAGCTGACAATGAGAAATACAGAAATTCCTTATTTACCAACCTAATTCCTGTCCTGTAACTAGGTCATTAAATTGGTCACTAAATGAAGAATTATATATAGTATTATATTACAATATTTAGAATAAAGACATGGTCAAAAGAAATTTCAATGTGATGATTTTGGTATTTCGGGGTTTTTTTCCCAAAAATTTTTAAATCTTTTATTTATTTATTTGGTATAGGGTCTCACTATGCAGATTGAACTTGTAGTGATCCTTCTTTCTCAACTTCCCTACTGTTGGGATTACAGGTGTGCACTACCATGCCCAGTTTTGCTGGCTGGCACAGGGCGTCTGGGGTTCCGGGGCCAGCATGGCATGTGGTACCAGGGATCAAACCTAGGTCCTTATGCTT